TTTTTTGGTCTTTTTGAGACAAGGTCTTGCTATACAGTTCAGGGTGGCCTTGAGCTCACTTTGTAGCCCAGGCTGGTCTCATATTTGCAACAATACTTCTGCCTCAGCCTCCTGAGTGCTGAGATTACAGGCGTGCATGACCACACTTGCTTTAGGACTCTGATTCTTTGGGATTTTTGTTTTGTTTTGTTTTGTTTTGTTCTTTTACACTATCTATGCAGTTCAGGCTGGCTTTGAGCTCACTTTGTAGCCCAGGCTGGCCTCGAACTCGTAATGATCCTCCTGCCTCAGCTTCCCGAGTGCTGGGAGTACAGGCGTGCCTAGGACTCTAATTCCTGATGCTACTCTTCTTAGCTGTGTGTCCTCGTTGTCTTCACGAAGAGAAGGGAGAGCGCCCACTGGCAGCTGTCTTCCACAGGAGGAGGTGGAGTAAGATGTTGCGGCGTCCTGCCAACCTCCCGTCGCGAGAGGGCGCTGCCGGTTCTGCGCAGGAGCCCTGGGCCTTGCTTTACTTTCCCTCTCTTTTCGCCGCTCTGTTTTGCTTCCGTTTATTCCGGAAATTGGTTCCCGGAGTGCACTTAGAGGAATTTCCGGTTCCGGGACGGCCGTGGCCGCGGTGAGCGGGAGCGATGGACGGGCTGTGAGTCTGCCGCGGCTCTCGGCGCCTGTCCTCCGCCTCCTCCGCCTGGTCTGGGCTCTCGACTGGTGTCCTCTGCCGCTCTACGCCCACTGCGGCGGCCTTGGTCGCACTCGGGCCTCCACTCACGGCGCGAACGAATGAATGAGTGACGGATTTCCTGCCGCTTTCTCCGTAGGTGACGTGTAGGCAGCTAGGAGCGCGATCCCGGCGGGCTCGATGAACCGGGCCAAGCCCACCACCGTGCGCAGGCCCAGCGCCGCAGCCAAACCCTCAGGTGCGTCCCGCGCGGCCCCATGGGACTCGGAGTCCCTGGGACACTGTGGTCCTGGTGGTCCTGGTGTTCCTGGTGGTCCTGGCTAGGCAGAGCTGGACGGCCGCTATCTGCAGGATACGGTCGAATCCGCCCAGCCGAGCCTCGGAAGGCTGCCTTGCTGCACCTTTAACAACCTGCATTCAGGACCTGCTGTTGTCACTTGCTCTCTGTGTTGTCACCGAGCAGGCTGCCTAACCTCTCTGTGTCTGTTTTCCTTATTGTAAAGTGAGAGTAATTGCACTTGTTCCAGAAACTTCTTGAGGATAAGTAAATTGATACTTGCAGGTCACAGATGTCCCGCATTGTAGGCAGCACTGTGTAACCCCGGCTAACACTTGTTACCATTACACTGGTCCTGGCTGTGCTGTGGACTTGCTGAGTGACCCCAGGCTTTATTCTTGCCTCTTCTAACACATAAGTAGTCTCCTCCAAGGTAACAGGGTTGGAATCAATCTCTTATGCTTCGGGCATTGTGAATGTGCACGTTTTCTGTCTCCCTTTCTGCAGGGCACCCTCCACCAGGGGACTTCATTGCTCTGGGCTCCAAGGGCCAGGCCAATGAATCGAAAACAGCGTCCACCCTGCTGAAGCCAGCCCCGTCCGGCCTGCCTTCAGAGCGCAAGCGGGATGCTACCACTGCCCTGTCCGGTGCCTCCTCACTGACTGGCCTCACCAAACGCCCCAAACTCTCTTCCACGCCCCCGCTGAGTGCCCTGGGGCGCCTGGCTGAGGCTGCAGTAGCAGAAAAACGAGCCATTTCTCCTTCAATCAAAGAGCCGTCTGTTGTGCCAATTGAAGGTAAAATCAGTCTCTGAACTTCCCCAGAGAACGCGACCCTTTCCGTCCATTCACCAAGTTTCCCTTTGGGCCTGGCACTGCATGCCCCAGGGTCCTCTATGGGGACAGGTATCTGAGTGTCTTAGCGGACACTTGCTCACTGTGGACTTGTTCCTCAGAGCACCTCCTGAGAGCCTCTGAGTCCCACGCTTCCCTTTGGGAACTGGTTCATCTGTTGTTCTTTTGGATGGGTGCCATTCTGATCACTGATCGGGGAAGGTGAACCTAGGTGCTGTCAGCTGTGGTCATTCAGGTCGAGAATCCGAGTGTTTTCCTTCCGCTGCTGGTAGTAGAAAGTTTGTTTCTCGATGTTTTCAGTCAAAGAGGCAGCAAGACAATATCAGTAGATGCCAGTGGAAATACGCACTTTACCCATGGTCCTTTTGTTTACAGGTGCTCTAATTTGCACCCATCTTAAGTCATACCTGCTTTTCTTTTCTCTGTCTTTCCCATTAGTGATACTGGGGATTATACCCAGGGTCTTTGCACTGAGCTACATCCCAGTCTATTTATACTTTTTTTTTTTTTTTAATTTTGTGATAGGATCTAGCTAAATTTTCTTGTTTTGTTTTGATTTTTGAGATGGGCTCTTGCTGTGTAGTTCAGGCTGGCTGTGAACTCATGACAGTCCTCTTGCCTCAGCCTCCTGAGTGCTGGGATTACAGGTTTGTACCTTTACACCTAACTGGTCTCAACTAGGTTTCTAACCTGTACAGACTGGGCTAGAACTTAACGATCCTCCTGTCTCAGCCTCCCAGAGGGCTGGAGTTACAGGAATGGACCACCATGATCATTTTTAATGGTTCTGTGACGTCTACAGCGTAAGACTTGTTAACAGCCAAACCACTCAGCTTCTGAGCTTGTGCTCTGATAGCAGACCTGACTCTCTATATGGTTTATAACTTCTTTGAAGAAGCTAAGAGAATATCTGTTGATCCTGTTGGCTTTAGTGGTGGCATATCAAGTAAAGCCAGTCTGTTACTTCTACTGAGTTGTCATATGAATGGTTTGGAGGCCCAGTGGCCCGGGTGACCTTTGCCCTCAGCAGTCTCAAAGATTTCATGGGAAAGCATGAGGGAGGCACCAGGTCACTGTGGTGGGAAGGGAGAGGCCTGAACACAGCTCCCTGACAGCCTGCAGGCAGGAGATGACTTTGACAGACAGCTAAGGCTGTGGGTGAGCAGAGCAGAGCAGAGGACCAGGCTGTGTCTAATGTGTGATGAGAGCAGGGCCTAGAGTGACCGGCACAGGGTGGTGCAAGCTGAGGCGGCTGTTGTAGGCAGTGTCTGTGCTGGGGCAGGACCACACCAATGGCATGTTGGCAACCAGCCAGTGTTGGCATGGGTGGCAGTGGTTGCAGAATGGGGGACCCAGCCCAGCTATAGGTCTTTACCACTAGCGTTGCTTTGCTGTTTTCGGTGTCACCTCTAAAGTGGTTTTGAAGATTAAGTAAGGTGCAGCTGTGGAAAGCACATCCTCTGCCATCTGGGGGAGACCTCTGCCCTCCACCTTTGGGGCTGCTATGGACCCTGTGTGGAAAGCTACTTGGAAAGGACCATGCGTCAGTCAGACTTGCTCGTGGGGTATCCGAGGTTCGCTGTGCCTCGGTGGCTGTGGATGACTCCTGCTCCGCCCCTGCTGTAACAAGCTCCCCTGCTGGCCAGTTCTTCCCACAGTGCTGCTGGATGAGATTGAAGCAGCTGAGCTGGAAGGCAACGACGACAGGATTGAGGGCGTGCTGTGCGGGGCGGTGAAGCAGCTAAAGGCGACGCGGGCCAAGCCTGACAGCACACTGTACCTGAGCCTCATGTATCTGGCCAAGATCAAGCCCAATATCTTCGCCACAGAAGGTGTCATCGAGGTGAGGTCTCTCGTTATCTCCTGTGCTCCAGCATGCGTGCACACATACACACGCTGCCCCTGCAGCCTGCGATGTCTCCATGGACAAGGTCCCAGAATGAATGTACACTCTCACTTGCAGGCCCTGTGCAGCCTCCTCAGGCGAGATGCCTCTATCAACTTCAAGGCCAAGGGCAACAGCCTGGTGTCTGTTCTGGCCTGTAACCTCCTTATGGCTGCTTATGAGGAGGACGAGAACTGGCCTGAGATCTTTGTCAAGGTGAGCTGCCTCTCCCCGGACTCAGTGTGGGAGAGAGGCAGGTGGGATCCCTTCTCCTGGCAGGGTGCATCTCATGGCCCCAGTGCCGTGTCACTGTCCCTCCTGCACTGGGGGGTTGGTGAGGGCTCTGGGGCACCCACCCCATTGGCAGGACAGCTGGTCTGCATCCAGGAGACGTGGGCTGCCTGCAGCCTGAGACTGTGGCTCACTGCAGGTATACATCGAAGACTCGCTGGGTGAGCGGATCTGGGTGGACAGCCCTCACTGCAGGACGTTTGTGGACAATATCCAGACGGCGTTTAATACCAAGATGCCCCCCAAGAGCATGCTGCTGCAGGGGGAAGTGGGGCGCAGTGGGGGTGACCTTGGGGCTGGTAAGGAACACGAGGCATCTGGGGGCAAGGAGGGACGTCTAGACCTGAGCAGGGGGAGAGAAGCTGAGGTTGGGGGGTTGCTGATAGGAGGCCAGGGTTGAGGGAAGGGCACCCCATGGAGCTCCCTATGGCCCATGCAGGGAGCAGTCCCCACCCTTCTCTCACGGAGGAAGAGGACAGTCAAACAGAGCTGCTGATTGCTGAGGAGAAGCTGAGCCCCACACAGGAGGGCCAGCTCATGCCCAGGTAGGTGGACCACACGGCCAGGCTGGGGCCGGGTGGGAGGCGGGCTGGGAGAACAGCATCCTTCCTTGCTCCCTTCCACCCTCTGGCCTAGGTACGATGACCTCGCAGAGAGCATGGAGGAGTACGTGCTGGACATGCTGCGGGACCAGCTCAACCGGCGGCAGCCCATCGACAATGTCTCCAGGAACCTCCTGCGGCTGCTCACCTCTGCTTGCGGCTACCGGGAGGTGCGGCTGCTGGCTGTGCAGCGGCTGGAGATGTGGCTGCAGAACCCAAAGGTGGGCCTGGTGCAGTGCCCTGGCCGATCGCTTGCGGTGGCGCCCTCCTGGCATTTTGGTGTCTCCAGCGTACACTCACAGTTCTGTCTTGGGCTCCGCAGCTGACCCGGCCAGCGCAGGACCTGCTGATGTCTGTGTGCATGAACTGCAACACACATGGCCCAGAGGACATGGACGTCATCTCCCACCTGATCAAAATCCGCCTCAAGCCCAAGGTGCTCCTCAACCACTACATGCTGTGCCTCAGGTGTGTGGGAAGGGCAGGGCCCGTGGGCCACAAGCAGGTGGGTGCCAGGGTAATAGGAGAGAGGTCCTGCCTGGCCCCTCCCCATGTGCCTGGTTCTTGCATCCAGGGAGCTGCTGAACGCCCACAAAGACAACCTGGGCACCACCATCAAGTTTGTGATTTTCAACGAACTGTCCAATGCCCGGAATCCCAACAACATGCAGATCCTCTACACCGTGCTGCAGCACAGCTCTGAGCTGGCGCCCAAGGTCGGTATCCATGGGTGGGTTGGGATGGTAGACCTAGAGCTGGGCCCTGCTCCACAGTGGCCTGCATGGCGCTGGGTGGAGGGAAGCTCTGGCATGGCCCATTGTCCATTCTTCAAAGCAGGCTGGCTAGTTTGCTGGTACCATGCGGGAGAATGCGCCTGGATCCTGGGAAGGGGAAGTAGTTGCCTCTTGTTTTTTTCTAGTCTGTCTTTGGGAACTAAAACTCAGCTTGTTGGGAAGCAGCACTGAGCCCATATCTCCAGGCCATTTGAGCAGTGGTTTCCTCAAACCAAGCAGAATCTCAGGAGTGCTGGCTATGAGGTCCCTGGCTCATATCCCCTTGGATAGAAACCTGGAAAGTGCTCCTGCTGCTCAGCCGAGGGCAGAGCTCTAGAGTACTCGCTGTATTTCATGTCAGTATTTTGCCCTCCACCCCGTGTGTACAAGTCACTGTATCCCCTCACCTGAAGAGATGCTCTGTGACTTTTTGCCAAGAGTGAAGTCAGATGCACATCCTTCTCAGAGCTCAGCGTGGCAGAGGGCACTGATGCCCGCAGTTTCAGGACAGGTGGTCTGAGTGTCCTGTAGGACCTCATGTGCTAACCTGCCTGGGGCTCAGGAATTGGCAAGGGGAGTTCTAGAACGGGTCTGGGGAGGCTTCCCTCAAGGCTAAGTGAGGCCTCAGTGGTGGGCCTAACAGTGGGCGTGAGGTAGTGGTGGGGATACTGTCCTGAATGGCCTCTGTCCTCAGCACCCACCTGATCTCTCTCTGTTGCAGTTCCTGGCCATGGTGTTCCAGGATCTGCTGACCAGCAAGGACGACTACCTCCGGGCCTCACGGGCCCTACTTCGGGAGATCATCAAGCAGACCAAGCATGAGATCAACTTCCAGGCCTTCTGCCTTGGCCTTATGCAGGAGCGCAAGGAGCCCCAGTACCTGGACATGGAGTTTAAGGTGCCTCAGTCTGCTCTATCCCCATGGTGGCCTCCTGGGTTTGGGGGTTTCCTGTTTTCTCTGGGTGGCTTGCTCAGCTGTCTGCTGCTGGGTTGGCCCACATGCCACACCTGTGTAGCACTCTGGTCTAAGTGGTCAGAACGGCAGTGCGTGAGGATGGCCAGCAGTGAGGCCCAGAGGCTCACATGGTTCACTTTTGGGCAAGGATGACACCTGCACTGGATGTGGAAGAGCTATAGCTGGAGGGGCTGGCAAGCAGAGACATTTTTAGCAGGGATGGATGATGTGGCCTGCGGGCGGGGGCACAGGAGGGGTATGGTTGCTCTGGCTGGACCTCAGTGCTCGTGCGGGGTTCAGGAAGCTTATGGGAGGAATAGGGCAAGTGTGGCAGGTCCCTGAGGCTGCAGCATGTTGGTGGTTATCCTGTTCATTAGCTTTCTGTTCAGCTCTGCTAGCTAAGCTTTCTCCCAGAGGCCTGGCCAGAGCCTTGCTTGGCAGCTCTTGCGCCTGAAGACCTCCTCTTGCCAGGTCCTGGTCCTGACGCAGTGGCCCTTGGGCTCTGTCTGGATTCTTTGCACACACCCCCAGTTGCTTGTGTATGTGCGTGTGTGTGTGTTTCTGAGTGTGGTTCAGGGCTCCCAGGCACAGAACTTCTAGAAGCCAGCCCCGTTCTGCTGTGCTTGGCCTGCAGGAGCGGTTTGTGGTCCACATCACAGATGTGCTGGCTGTGTCCATGATGCTGGGCATCACGGCGCAAGTGAAGGAGGCTGGTGTTGCCTGGGACAAAGGAGAGAAGAGGAGTAAGACTGGGGGGACGGGCCTGGTGGGTTTTGTACTTCCCCTTGGCATTCCACCCCTCCCTCCCTCTTGTGACTTCTGCTGTACCCTAAGGTGCCAGTAGAGGGCGAGGAGGGAGTAATCTCAGCACAGCCACTAGAGGAGACAGAGATTGTGGAAATGATGTCCCTTTCTCCTCCATCAGCAGAGGCCTTTGGCCACAGGCCAGCCGGGAGAGACGGTGCATCAGTCAGCCTGGGTCATGGGAAGGTTTGGCCGAGGGGCCCTTAAAGAGACAGGATGAGGTCATCAGGCATTTGAGGCTTCCCTCTTCTGTGACCCTCAGAGGATCATGGACCACTCCGAGTGTTAGTCAGGCTGACTTGGCCTCCACCTCCCTCATGTATGGATGGCCTGGGAGGCCCTAGGTCTGCCGTTAGTGTCCAGCCTTGCTCCCAGTCTAGCCTTGCACCAGACCAGATCGCATGGACATTGTTGCCCCTCAAGGCCCTCACACAGCGGCCACTAACCCCTTCGTCCCTCGCAGACCTTGAGGTGCTGCGCGCATTCCAGAACCAGATCGCTGCCATCCAGCGTGATGCTGTTTGGTGGCTTCACACCGTCGTTCCCTCCATCAGCAAGCTCACCCCCAAGGACTATGTGCACTGGTAAGCACCGGCGTTGTCACTTGACCTGCGCTGCCACCTACCTGAGAGCCCCTGGCTCAGACATGCACCAGAACTCACCAGGGAGAAGTTCTTCGTCTTGGGCCATGGCCGCTGTGGGCTCCAGGTGTGGCGGTGGATAGCTGCAGTATTGTGCTGAGGGGCAGAGGCCTTCTGATCCTGCAGCCAGAACCGTGCACAGGGCTTCCGTTCCACGGGAGGAGGACCGTGTGGCTGGGAGCCGCCTGTCTCAGGTGGTCATGGCCCAGCTCAGCCTTGCCAGTTGTGGGTGTGAACCCCGGGGTGCCCTGGGAGGACAGCTGCAGAACTGGGCAGCCCTAACAGTTTTCACTTGCCAGCCCCTGACTGAGTGGAGCCCATGGGCACTGGTGGGATGACTGATGGCTGCGCTTTACCCACAGCCTCCACAAGGTGCTCTTCACGGAGCAGCCCGAGACCTACTACAAGTGGGACAACTGGCCACCCGAGAGCGACCGCAAGTGAGCTGGCTGACGGGCAGAGGGTGCCAAGCATGGGTGCCCCACTGGGGCTGGACTGTTGGGCTGGTGGAGCCTGGCCCCCCACAGAGCCGTCTCTCCCTGCACGGCCCACAGCTTCTTCCTGCGCCTCTGCTCCGAGGTCCCCATCCTGGAGGACACACTGATGCGCATCCTGGTCATCGGGCTGTCCCGGGAGCTACCCCTGGGCCCTGCAGATGCCATGGAACTTGCCGACCACCTCGTGAAGCGAGCTGCGGCCGTACAGGCGGATGGTGAGCGTCTGCTGAGGCTCTGCTAGATGCCTTGTGCTGTACCCGGCTAGGTGACTGCTCTACACTGAGCTCTGCCTCCTCACTCCATGGAAGCAGCCTGGGCGCCAGTAGATGGCTGGGCCCACAGAGGCAAGACTGCCTGTGTCAGGTGGGGCCACTTCTCAGTGGGTTTTGTAGTCCTCTGTGCCCCTGTGAATCACAGGTTTTCTTGGTGGGGACTTGGGCCTGTAAATCCAGAATCACTCTGTGCCTTTGGCAGGGGTTCACCTTTGCCCTGTCTCAAGTTTGCATGAGTTGTTGGTGTATTGGAACCACAGCAGAGCCTTCTGCTCATGTCTCTTCTTGAGGGATTGTGGAATGCTAAACTTGGCCAAGGGCTGACACCTATGGCATGGCAGTGGGGTCCTAGCTGCCCTCCAGGATGGTCCTGTCCTCTAGGACAGCACCAGTACCTATCTCCCTGGGCCCTTCCCTGCCCAGGAAAGCTGCCTGTGTCCCATGTGGCCTCTGAATCATCACCCCATCCCATCCCCACACTTGGACCCAGGCCCCTGTCTTCTTGGGCTCTGATATCTCTGTCTGGGTCCTGGTGCCCAGTGAGTAGCTCTGTACAGCCTTGTGGATCCTGTTTGGGTTTCAGATGTGGAAGTGCTGAAGGTGGAGCGAATCCAGCTAATTGATGCAGTTCTGAACCTGTGCACCTACCACCACCCAGAGAACATCCAGCTCCCTCCTGGGTAAGGCCCGTGAGCCCCTAACTGGCAGGCATCCAGCCCGAGATTGCCCAGCTGGCTACTGGTTAGTTGGGGAAGCCTGGCCTCCAGAACTGGAAGCCTTAAAATTAGAAAAGGTGTCCTTTGGCTGTGTGCTAGGTTATTTGGCTTTTCTGAGTCCTAATATTTCTATGTGAATTTTGGGGTCAGCTTGTAAATTTCTGCAAAAAGTCAACTGGAATTTTGATAGAGATACAATATTCAGTCCTCTAACACATGAATATGGGTGTATTTCCGGTGTTTTTGTTTATTGAGACAAGATCTCACTATGTAGTTCAAGCTATTGTTAATCTATGTAGCCGAGGTTGGCCTTGAACTCGTGGCAGTCCTCTTGCCTCAGCCTCCTGAGTGCTGGGATTATAGGTGTGCACCACCATGCCCAGCATTGTTTCTGTTGTAGACCTTTGAGTTTTTTTCAACAGTGTTTTGTAGTTTTTCTTAGGTAAGCCTAAAAATTCTTTCATTAAATTCATATTTAAATATTTCACTGTTTCAAGTGGGGAATTTTTTTCTTAATTTCTTTCTTGGATTGCTAGTGTATGCTGTACTACAGTTCAATGTGTCACTTGATGGCCTTCTTGCATATTTCTCAAGTGGGTGTCGTGCAGATTTTTTCATTCTTGCTAATAGCTGGGATCTATTTTATCTGTAAGGACTGTACTTTAGTTATGATTATATTATATATGGTTTTTAAATGTTGCAATTGCACATTGTAGAATACCAGGCTTTCTAGTTTTTCAGCGTAGAGAATTAGGTAACTTTTATGAGTGTTTATTACTTTGTCCACCACTGTTCCCATTTAATAGATGGGAACTAAGGCTTAGGAAGGTCAGTAATGGCCCAGGGCTCAGCCGCTGAGAGTGGCATGGCCCCTGAGCCAGGCTGTGTGATTTTTTGCATGTCTTTGTGGCATGGACAGGCATCCTGGGAGGGGAAGTTTCAGGGCATCCCATCAGCGTCATAGCCCAAAGCATGGACAGGTTGGTCAGTCCTTGGTTCTTCTGCCTGTGCCATGGCTACTCTGGCTAGGACTTATTTCCTGTCCTTGAGCGCAGGGTGGCTGAGCCCATGTTGTCGATGTCCTGCCCTCCAGGTACCAACCCCCGAACCTTGCCATCTCTACCCTGTACTGGAAGGCATGGCCCCTGCTGCTGGTTGTCGCTGCGTTCAACCCCGAGAACATCGGTGAGCCTGTCCTGGCTGCTTGCAGGCCTGGCCATGGGTCCATGATTCCTCCTTGGGGGCCACTCATTGGAGTGATAACCCTGGTGCCTGTGGGGAGCCCAGCCCTCTGTTTTCCTTGTCCTAGGTCTGGCCGCCTGGGAGGAGTACCCCACGTTGAAGATGCTCATGGAGATGGTGATGACCAAGTAAATAAACTGCTCCTGCCAGGGACCAGGGGTACGCCAGAGGTGGAGGACCACGCTTAAGGAGAGTAGCCAGTTTCCTACCTCAGCGTGCTGCATCCCTGGTGCCTGTTTGCTAATGGATTGAGTTCTGGTCCAAGTGTGTCACACTTAAGCCTCTTTCCTTTCCCTTGATGGGGTGAGGGGTGGCATGGATGGAGGTCACATTGCAGCATCCCCTCAGGCGCTGTTCTGGGCAGCACTTGTACTGCTGACATGGGTAGCAGTGGTTGGACTGAAGACTGAGAACTGTATGACTGAAGCAGAGATGTCCAGGTGGAGGAAGGGTCCAAGCGGACAGGCAGCCCTGCCTGGAACCAGCTGTGGTGAACAGTACAGTGTGGTTGGCACAGCCTGGGGACAGGCAGAGTTGTGACCACAGCTCAGTGAAAATGTGCTCTTGCAGCATGGTGCCGGGCAGGGCCTGCCAGGCAGCCAATCTAGACAGCAAAGACAACATGCAGAGGACAGTGGCTGCACCGGGGTAGAGCTTGAGACTGACATCATAGAGACCAGGCCTATCTATGTGTGACTGTGGCATTGCGGGGACCCAGTCCATATGTGGCTGCGGCCTTGTAGAGTCCAGGCCTGTGTGTGCCCGTGAGATTGTGGAGACCAGGGCCATGTGTGACTGTGACCTTGTGTGGACCTGGCCTGTATGCAGTTCTGATATTGGTGAGAACCTGGCCCGTATATAGCCATGATATTGTAGGGACCTGGCCCTCACATGGCTGTGGCATTGCGTGGTCGATGGCTGGGAGACATGGCTGCCTGCTTTGCATGTGGCTGAGCAGCAGCCTAAAGGGAACATTAGGACCAGAACTCAGGAAGGGACACCACAGGAAGACAGGTTTTAAGACACATGGAAGGAGCTGAACCACGAGTCCCTGCCAGCGAGTCCTGCCCTTGGAGGTCCCCAGGTGGGGGCGGCCCACTGGGGCCATCGTAATGAACAAGGATCCTAGCATGGTGTGTGACCTGAGAGGGTATCCTGGGCGAGACTGGGAGTCTGACACTGACTGGATTTGGTGCTGGAGATGTCTATGGTGCTGCCATGGGAGGAGGTGGCTGGTGGGCTCCCAGAGCACCAGGTTCTTGGGCTCAGCCTGACAGTACTGTCAGCAGCCCCAGAGAGTACCCAGTGGCTCAGGCCATGCACCAGGCAGTGGCAGCCTTGCAAGTCTTGACCCTGCATGACTCTGAGCATTGCCTGGTGGGCTCCAGCCTGGGTAGGGGCAGGCTAACAAGGCCCTTCTTACTGTGTCCTCAGTAACTACTCCTACCCGCCATGTACCCTGACGGATGAGGAAACCCGTACAGAGATGATTAACCGGGAGCTGCAGATCTCCCAGCGAGAAAAGCAGGAGATCCTAGCGTTTGAGGGCCATCTGGCTGCTGCGTCCACCAAGCAGACAATCACCGAGAGCAGCAGCCTCCTCCTGTCACAGCTCACCAGCCTGGATCCCCAGTATGCCCCACCCCCTCCCTAGTACCCTAAGGCCCAGGACAGAGTAAATCTTTGTGGCAGGTGGTTGGGTTGGTAGGATGAGTGGAGGGCCAACCACACCTTGCTGACCTTAAGCATCCACCATGCCCAGGCCCCACTGCATTGGCACCATTTTTGTGGAGCAGGTCTGGGGATAGCTGGGTTGTGCCTGGGGTCTCGGCTACCCTAAGGTGCAGGGCTGGGCGGGGGCAGTGACTCCCTGCCCTCGCCCTTGCCCATTGCTGTTGGTTGCAGGAGTACAATGCAGGTAACTTTCTGACCCTCATGTCCTCTGTGACCTACAGGGGGCCCCCCCGGAGGCCACCTCCTCACATCCTGGAACAGGTGAAGGGCCTCAACCAGTCCCTGCGCCTTGGGCACCTCCTCTGTCGCAGCCGCAACCCTGACTTCCTCCTCAACATCATCCAGAGGCAGGTGGGCCCGGGGAAAGGCTCCGGAGGGAGAGAGCAGGTGGCGGGGAGGGCTCAGGCTGTGATGGGCTCTGATCACAGCACTGTAACTGGGAGAGGGCAGAGTGCACCTACCTGGATACTCGTGGGGCAGGGCACACCTGAATACTCTGTGGGCTCCTGGAGTTTAGATGGCACCATCTTGGCTCAGTTCTGTGCCCCTGACTCCTCACAGGTCTCTACCTGTGACCCTGGAGAGGGTACCGTGAGATGCAGCCTTGGTGGGAGAGTGTAGGGTGGGGTTGGCAGGTTTGAGCTGAGGGCGCTAAGCATGGGCCACCACTATCGTCTGCCTAGGCCTCCTCACAGTCCATGCCCTGGCTGGCCGACCTGGTACAGTCGAGCGAGGGCTCGCTGGATGTGCTGCCTGTGCAGTGCCTGTGTGAGTTCTTGCTGCATGACGCCGCTGATGACCCCACTTCAGGGGAGGAAGAGGACGAGGGCGAGAGCCGGGAACAGAAGGCCAAGAAGCGGCAGGTGGGTGCCCTGCCTGTTCTCCCCAGCTGGGCCTCCCAGGCTGCCCCATCCCCTGAGAGCCTCCTGTCATTCACAGAGGCAGCAGAAGCAACAGCAGCTGTTGGGCCGCCTGCAAGACCTGCTGCTGGGTCCGAAGGCTGACGAACAGACCACATGCGAGGTGCTTGACTACTTCCTGCGGCGCCTCGGCTCCTCACAGGTGGCCTCCCGAGTGCTGGCCATGAAGGTGAGCACAGCTGGAATGCCTTGGCCTTTGTGTCCCCATGTGCGCAGGCTCCACTTCTGTTCCCTTCTTGACTTTTGCTGTCTGCTTTTAACGTGAAGACTTGGTACCTCCAACCTTGCACTTGCTGGGGAAGAACCACAGCCATTTGGTAGTTCTCTGCCCTTCTCAGGTTGATAAGGTGAAGCATAATCGTGATTGGTACTTGCCATCTTTCGGGTGACACTGAGCAGGGCCTGAGGGTGTGGCTCCACAGCAGAACCTGTGCTTAGATGCCTGAGGTGCCAGCCTCATGGGAAGGTGTTTAACAAGTGTTTTGAGGGAACCACCTACTGCTACTACTTGTGGTGCTTGGGAAGCACTTGTGTCTTCTGCACAAGGCTCCAAGAGGCGTGGGTGGTCCCTGACAGGGCAGGCTGTCTCAGCTCAGCTCTGCACACCTGTGCCTGCAGGGCTTGTCGCTAGTGCTCTCGGAGGGCGGGCTTCGCGACAGAGAGGAGAAGGAGCTGCCCATGGAGGAGGACTCGGGGGAGGCAAGTGCACTGCAGGACTACCAGTGGCTACTGCGGGACCTGCCAAGGCTGCCCCTGTTTGACAGCGTCCGGGCTGCCACTGCCCTAGCACTGCAGCAGGTGAGGGCCTGGTGGGGCAGGCATGGAGGGCAGGTGGGCGGCAGGAGCACTGCCCAGGAGCCAGCTCAGGTACCCTCACTTCCCAGGCCATCCATATGGAGACCGACCCGCAGACCATCAGTGCCTACCTGGTCTACCTGTCCCAGCACATGCCAGTGGAGGAGCAGGGCCCACACAGTGACCTGGCCCTGGTGAGTGGGGTGGGATGTGTGGGGACCTGCTGTGGGGAGGGTGTGCGGGAGCTGGAGCCTGCTGTGCCCAGAAAGTTTTGATGGCTTGAGGGGGCTGGAGCATGTTCTCACAGTGGCGCAGAGGGGAGCCAGAGTCCCAAGATTTTTACTGTCCTCTTTGCTGTCCTCCCCTGGATAACCTCCTGACCTGGCTTTCCTGTCAGCCGCCCCAGCCACAGTGCAGGGTGGCGCAAGTTCCTAGGCCGAGTCTGTGGGTGGGTGAGGAGCAAGTGAGTGAACAGCAGTCACCGGGACGGGGCTTTCTCCGCAGCGTGGATCCTTTCTGGGGGCTGTAAACCCAGGTCTGCCCTCCTGGTGATTTCTGATGCCTTTGCCTTCCAAGCCTCTGGTCCAGTGTCTACGCTGGGGTAGCTCACAGCTAGGCTTCTCAGCATTTTTGCATGTGTAAAATGTCATGTCTGGACAGGTTGTGACAGTGTTTTCTTTTGGCCATGGAGACTGTGTTTCTGCTGTCGGTGGGTGGGTCCGTGAGCTGTCTCTGCCCTGGTCCCTACACCCTTTCCTCTCCACCGTGTGGCAGGCATGGGGCTGCTGCAACGGCTTCCACTTTCAAGGCCATCATCAACCTTTCCTCTGAGCTCCGCGTCCCCTTACAAGTCTGAGGAAGCCCCGTGAGCTCTCCCTTCCCCAGTGCTGCCACCTGCCTTGCACAAGCGTCCTGCATGTTGCTGGGGACATTTCACAGTGCTCCTCTCATGGTGCAGTGTGTGGTCTACTCAGGGTCACATGGTGTCATGACCAGCTGCTGGGCTGGTGTGCAGAGAGGAGGAGAGTGGCTGCTGGTGGCCACAGTGCCTCTGAGGGCCTTTGTCTCTCCAGGATGTAGCCCGGCTGGTCGTGGAGCGCTCTACCATCATGGCGCACCTGTTCTCCAAGCTTTCCTGCAGCGCCACTTCCGATGCCGTTCTGGGCGCCCTTCTGTCTGTTTTCTCCCGCTATGTGCGGCGCATGCGCAAGAGCAAAGAAGGCGAGGAGGTGTACAGCTGGGTAAGACAGCCCTTGACCCTGGCTCCCTGCTTCTGGCTTCCCAAGGCACCTGGCCTCTGTTCCACTCTCCTCTCTCTGTAGTCAGAGTCTCAGGACCAAGTCTTCCTGCGCTGGGCCAGCGGAGAGACAGCCACCATGCACATCCTCGTGGTCCACGCCATGGTCATCCTGCTGACATTGGGCCCACCCCGAGGTAAGCAGTGCTGGCCAGGGAGGGTCTGTCCTGGAAGGTCATGCCCCTGCCCAGAAGCTAGTGGCTTGGACTGGCTGAGCCTTGTGGCCAGCAGCCTTTCGTTTTTTTCCTTCCTGGTTGTTGTGACTATTCTGCCACTTACCCGGTTACTCCTGTGAGAGCAGGGGAAGGCCAGGACCCCCTTGTTGGGAGTCTTGTGCATGTGGGTGACTCTGCCAGAATGGGGGCCACCAGATGGCAGTGAAGGTGGCCAGCCCTAGGTATACATCCAGTGCATCACCCTTGGGAAGGAGGGTGGGAAGGCTGGTGTTGCTGTCCCACCCGTTGGGCTTCCCTTTGACCCTGTGGAGAGGGCTTTTAGAAGAGAGCTGGCCTGGCCAGGCACCTCGTACTGTGGGCACAAGTTCTCTGTGGCAGGTGATCTCATGAAGCAGATTCATCTCTTAGAGCCTTTTTTCTCACCTGTAAGTGCAGGTGCTATGCTTGTCCCACAGAAGAGGTACACTACTTCATACCCAGCACTGGGCAGTTGGTCCTCATCTGCATTTGAATCTACCTGGTTCCTGTGAAGCCTCAGTTTCCTCTTGTACAAGAGGATAGTTCTGAGGGGCCTTGAGGCTATGCCAGTGTTGGTCTTTGGTCCTCTTTGGGGTCAGGGCCCTTGGAGGACAAGGTTGCTCACCCGTATCTTTCTGGAAGCTGGCGATAGTGAGTTCTATGAGCTCTTGGATATCTGGTTCCCGGAGAAGCAGCCACTGCCCACCGCCTTCCTGGTAGACACATCTGAGGAGGCACTGCTGCTACCTGACTGGCTGAAGCTCCGCATGATCCGCTCTGAGGTGCCCCGCCTGGTGGATGCTGGTACGCACCAGGCTGCGGTTATGAGAAGGGAAGGGCCTGGTGAATCCAAGCAGCTCTGCACCTGCTACCCATGAACCCGTGGGCCTCTGGGACACTCCCAGTGTCCACATAGCCAGTAGGGGCTCACTGAGTTTATGGTCACACCAGGACCAGCTGCCCTGACCATGACAGGTTGGGAATGCATCCTAGAAAGGAAGTTAAATGGCCAGGGTTTGCGAGGGAAGACGGATGATTTGGGGCCTCTGAGTTGATTCTTGAAGGCTTTGTGGAGTTCAGGCAAGCTGCAATGGGGAGAGGAGGGTCTAGCAGGGCCCATCAGGCTGGTAGCCAGGCAGGTGAGGCACTCAGGTGAGTGGGAAGGTGAGTGGGAAGATTAGTTCAGGATGCTTGGGAAAGACATACCCCAAGGAGTCTGCTATCATTGTGATGCTGTCACCAGTTCATAAGGGAGCTGCTGTAACCTTGTGTGGCTTGTGAGCAGCTTGACCACAGGGTCCATAGCACTGCTGTGAGCCTTCTGAGCAGCCCCTACTGAGGTGCCTTCCAGGGTAGGGGGCTGGTTGGGCTGGGCCCGGATGCCGGGGGTGGGGGGCCACTGAGCGAGCAATACCCACAGCCCTACAGGACCTGGAGCCCCAGCAGCTGCTGCTGTTTGTTCAGTCCTTCGGCATCCCTGTGTCAAGCATGAGCAAACTCCTCCAGTACCTGGACCAGGCAGTGGCCCATGATCCCCAGACCCTGGAGCAGAACATCATGGACAAAAGTAAGTACCCACAGTTGGCTGTGTTGGTCAGTGTTGGTTGGACTAAGCTCCCCAGGGTCCTCTAGCCCCTCTGGGGCCTGGGTGAGGGCTGCTGAGGGGGTTGAGCTACAGGTACCATAGGTGGGGTGTGAAAGCCCAGACCTGGCCCCACCTCTGCACCAGGGCCCCTTTGGGAGTTGTCCTGAGGCCTAGGGAAGCGTGGGCTCTGGATGCTCATGCTGCCTTGGTGAGGATCCTGTCGCTCGGCTCCTGCAGCCTCAGGAAGCTCCCAGGACTCATCTGGGCACGTGTGAGGCTTCCCAGCACCGCTTCCTGGGGGAAGAGGTGCTTGCCGTCCATGTGTGGCTGTGACCGTTTGCTGTCTTGCAGATTACATGGCCCACCTGGTTGAAGTGCAGCATGAGAGAGGCGCATCTGGAGGCCAGACCTTCCACTCCCTGCTGACAGCCTCCCTACCCCCTCGGCGAGGTATTGGCCCCTCCCAGCCCCAGCACCATAGCCCTGGCTTCCGGCTGCAGAGACCCGCCTCAGCGACTTCCTTGGTCGGCATTTGCCCGTGGTCAGCTTGGGGCCTGTTTTGGGTCTGTTTTCCCTGTAGATTTCCCTAGTCAGGGCCCCAGGTCCACAGAGGGCTGACACTATGGGGATGGGAGCCAACTCTTCTTGCTGGTGATGGCCTTGGGCGGGACTGTGCTGGTTCTCAGGGCTGCCCTGCCAGAGCAGGTCTGAGTTTCTAGCCTGTGGCGGTGTCCCTTTATCTAGATAGTACAGAGGCACCGAAACCAAAGAGCAGCCCAGAGCACCCTGCAGGCCAGAGCAGGACTCGGGCAGGGACGCAGGTCCGAGTGCTGGGTCCTGAGGATGACTTGGCCGGCATGTTCCTGCAGGTACTGATGCTGCTCTGATGGCTCCTGCACATGTGTGTCCTCACACGTAGTGCCTTGACATGTATGCCTGCCCCCAGTGAGGGCCTGCATGGGGGAGGGGTGGCATCCTGCTCTGAACTGAGTCCTGCGGCCCTTGCATACCCCTCTGTTTACACCCCTCTGTTTACCCCTCTGTTCACCCCTCTGTTCCACTTTCTGCCTGCAGAGGCCAAGATGTGCAGGGGTCACCTGAGGCCCAGTACTGGTGCCTGCCCTGCCCATGTCATTCCTCCTTGATCGAGAGCCTCTGTAAGGCACTGATAGGCTCCGGGGGCAGCTTCAGGGGTGTTGGATGCATTGCTGCTCTGTGACACAAGTCTCAAGGACCCTGGGCCCCTGAGTCCACATGGGTGGGGCCACAAAGGAACAGGGATCTGAGAAGGGGTGCTCCCCTTCCTAATACCTGCCCCCCTCTTCCAGATTTTCCCACTGAATCCTGACCCGCGGTGGCAGAGCTCCAGCCCCCGGCCTCTCGCCCTTGCGCTGCAGCAGGCCCTGGGCCAGGAGCTGGCCCGAGTCCGCCAGGGGAACCCTGAGGTGCTAGGCATCACTGTTCGCCTCCTGCAGGCCATGGCCACCCTGCTGGGCTCCCCGCATGGTGGGGCCTTGGCCATGGCCATGCATCGTAGCCACTTCCTCTCTTGCCCGCTGATGCGTCAGCTCTACCAGTACCAGGTACCCACACCGAGGGAGCAGAGGGGGCTTGGCTTCAGTGTCCCAGGATAAGAGGGAGCAATCAGACCATTACTTAGATCCACCCTGAGTCCTACACTGGCCCTGGTGTACGGATCCCTGTGTGGGCTTGCTTTTCTTTCCTAAGTACAGGAGCTACCTGTGTCAGGGCAGCAGGCAGGGACCCCTCTCCTTAGAGGAGGTGACAGACCCACGCACACTGGGCCTGCGCCTGGGTCCGTGGCCTTGTTTCATGCATGAGTGCATGTGTTCTGTATATGTGTGGTTATTTTATTCCCTGAAGTATGTGGGAATAAGTTTCTGGCCAGGCAGGATTATGCCTGGAATCCCACATATGTGGGAAGCTAACACAGGAAGATTGGAAGCCCATGGACAGCGTGGGCAACAAAGGAAGATGTTGCCTCAAAGTACAAAAAAAAAAAATCATAAAAGAGGGGCCAAGGATGTAGTTCAGTTGTCCCCAGGGTCAATCCCAGTACTGAAAAAAAAGTAAGTTGCCATCAGAACAGCTCATAATTTAAAGGCCCTGCCAGGCTGTCTTGGAATGCACTATTGTGAGGGCAGGTGGATGATGCTGGGCCATGGCAAAGGCCTGTCCCAGCCACATGGCTTCTTCTCTCTCACCTCCCCGACCGTGCAGGGCTATTGCTGTCCCTAGCCAGCATAGCCTACATTTTACTTGTTATCCCTGCAGCGCTGTGTGCCCCAGGACACTGGCTTCTCCTCCCTCTTCCTCAAAGTGCTGATGCAGACCCTTCAGTGGCTGGACAGCCCTGCCGTGGAGGAGGGGCCCCTGCAGGCCCAGCTCAAGCTGTTTGCCACCCAGTACTCAGCAAGACGCAGGATCAGTGATGGTGAGGGCGGCGGCAGGCAGCTGGGGTCAGCTGATATGCGTGCAGCGGGACCAAGTGACTGGGGAGAGACCTGGGCTCCTGCAGCAAGGACGGTGCCTGCGTGGACAGAGGGGCATCTGCTAGGCACTGGGAGGGCAGGGCAAAGCCCAGCGAGGGAAGCTCACACTGGCTGTCCTGCAGTGCGCAGCGGACTCCTGCACCTGGCCGAGGCCCTGGGCTTTCATCATGATCTGGAGGTTGTCAACTCCACTGTGAGAGCTGTCATTGCCACCCTGAAGTCTGGGGAGAGGTGCAGTGTGGAGCCAGAGCTCATCAGCAAAGGTATCAGCCTGCCAGGCTCAGGCTCCAGGCTGGGACCACTTTGTCTAGGGACAAGTTCCCCTTGTGGCCTGTGGGACAAGCAGTGACCACTCACTGCCCACAGATGTCCCCTCCTAGGTGCCTCCATGAGCCTCTTGAGAACAGGAGTGTCGCTGTGGTGAGGAGCATCTCCCCAGCCCAGCCCATCCTGCCCATACTCAGCCATGCCTGGCCTTGGCTGCCTCCTACTCAGTGGTCTCCAGCCTAGGGTGACACGGGTCATCCCCTGTCCCTCACAGTCCTCCAGGGCCTGATTGAGGTGAGGTCCCCCTACCTGGAGGAGTTGTTGACAGCACTCTTCTCGGCTACCACGGATGCTACCTGCCAGAGCCCGGCCTCCAGCCCCATCATGGTGGTGAGCTCCCTGCTGCTGCAGGAGAAGGAGGAGTCCCCCACCCCAGGGAAGCAGGATGGAGACAGTGTCAGGTAAGCAGGAGCTGAGGACGCCCAAGGGGTTGTCTCTGGCAGGTCCTTCCCTGACTCTCTCTCCCTGCAGCCTGGAGGCTGCACGGCTGGGACCCTCGTCGGGGCTACTTGTGGACTGGCTGGAGATGTTGGACCCCGAAGTGGTCAGCAACTGCCCCGATCTGCAGCGGCAGCTGCTCTTTTCGAGGAGGAAGGTGACCGGGACCAGCCCAAGGGCAGAGGGTGTTCTGGGGTCCCTGACCTGCCTGGGGACTGGGATTGATATGAGATGATGCCCACGAGGGCCCGCATGGGAGGGAAGGGGTCAGTCCATGTAGATGGGTGGGACTTACCTGCCAGACTGAGGCCCAGTGGGCCCAGGGCTGCCCAGAGGAGAGTGGAGAGCCTGTGGCCGCCAAAAGGGGCTAGGCACAGGATTTCTCAGTGGTGGGGACAGCGCCCTCCAGGGCCAAGTGGACAGGGCCTGCCACCCTGGGCAGAAGAGGTGAGGCAGTGGTTGGATGGTTGGTGTTCGTGGGGCCAGTGGCCACCTGTGACGTGTGCTGCAGGGAGAGCGGCAGCCAGCAGGCTCGTGGGTCAGGAGCAGCTATCTCCATCGGGTCATTCTGCCCCATCTCCCCACTCTGCAGACAGCTGACTCACTTCCACCCCTTCCTGGGCTGCCCACCACCCCCATCTTAGCCTCGGGTACAGGTAACGCTCAAGGCTTCTTCCAAGCCCTGAGTCCTGCTGGAAACGGCCTTGAGCATTTCCTTCACAGGTGGCAGCCAGGATGTTATCAGCTGACCTGGCTCAGCAGGGCTGACCAGTTCCTCAGCCCAGTTGTGATCATCCCAGCTTCTGTCATTTCCCAGGGCAAAGGCCACGCAGGTGCCCAGGTGCCGTCTTTCCGCCCCTATCTCCTGGCCCTCCTCACACACCAGTCCAGCTGGGCCACACTGCACCAGTGCATCCACGTCCTGCTGGGCCAGAGCCGGGAGCAGAGGTGAGGTCCCCTTGCCTGGGCTTCGCACCCCCACAGGCACTGAGTGATGGCTGCAGGGCTCGTGTCGCTGCGCTGGGAACTGTCAGCACTGCTGAGGCAGCTGTGTCGGCCACTTTCCTGCTGCTTCTTGTAAATTGTGTAAATGTCCTCAGCACGGGGGTCACAGGGCGTCTGACATTCACCCCACACTGGTGCTGGGTCCCTGTACCCTCGGGTCCAGTGTGCCCAAGCTGGCCTAGGCCACCACACTCACCCCCTGCAGGGAACGAATGCCCTCACCAGGCAGCCTGCCTCCCTGGCTCTTATCCTTGGACCATGGTCTTTGTCATTCTCTGTCTGTGAATGATTCAGTGATTGTCCACATGGGTGCCAGGAGGGTTGTACCCAGAGTGCGGCACTGCATGACACCAAGACCCATCCTGCGCACCCATCCCTGGCTCTGAAAGCGCACAGCATGGATGGGACTAATGCGTGCACTTCCTCCACAGTGGGAGTGGGGCACCCAGCGCATGGGCACAGGCGTGGGTCAGGGGGCCCACGTTCTCTGCCTGTGGGTCCATGACTAGGGTCCCTTGGAAAGCTATGGGCTTCTCCCAGGATCCTCCATGCTCCCTGACCTCAGGTGGAATTCCTCGTTCCTCCCAGGTTTGACCCCTCTGCCTCCCTGGACTTCCTCTGGGCCTGCATTCATGTTCCACGGATCTGGCAGGGAAGGGACCAGCGGACCCCGCAGGCAGGTCTTGATGAGGGTGGGGGTGGCCCAGCCCTATAGGGTGGCACGTCCAGGGCCTGATCAGTGGGCTCCTGTTGCAGAAGCGGCGGGAAGAGCTGGTGCTCCGTGTCCAGGCTGCGGAGCTCATCAGCCTGGTGGAGCTGATCCTGGCTGAGGCGGAGACCAGGAGCCAGGACGGGGATGCAGCCGCCTGTACTCTCATTCAGGGCCGGCTCCCCTTGCTGCTTAGCTGCTGCCGTGGCAATGACGAGAATGTCAGAAAAGTGACAGAGTACCTGACCGGCTCGATCCAGCAGTGGGGGGACAGGTACCCGGGGCCCTCATACCCCCATGTGATGGGATAACACTGTCCTCACTTGGGAGGCTCAGGCTGTTTCCATCAGCATGCCTGGCCCCGAGCCATTCTGGCTCCATCCTGTGCCCAGTCCCTACTCCTCTTAGGCTCTAGTTGGCCCGTCTAGCCCCTGCCCCATCCATCCAGTGGCCCTGTCTATTCTGTTGCAGTGTGCTGGGCAGGCGGTGTCGAGACCTGCTTCTGCAGCTCTACCTGCAGCGGCCAGAGCTCCGGGTGTCAGTGCCTGAGGTCCTGCCTCTCAGTGAGGGAGCCACTGGCAGCAGCGTCTGCAAGGTGAGATGGTGCCTCCTGTCCATGCCCTGGTGGAGCAGCCATGACCAGGATGGTGGGTGGGGGCCGTCAGCCTAGCACTCCATCTTCCCCACAAAGCCCAACCCATGAGGAATCCTGAGACTGCCTTGAATGGAATCCCAAATGGAACTGGTGGGTAGTGGCGGTGTGAGAGGGTAGCCCTGTCTCCCCTCCTCACCTGACCTCTTGTCCTGTGCATGGAGCAGCTCCCGGCTGCGGTATGGTGTCTGTGTGCCCCTTGCCTACATGGCTGACAGGAGGCTGTGTATGTGTGTGGCGTACAGCACACACGTGAACTACGAGCCCATCATCCAGATGGGGCAGTACCATCACCGCAGACACATCCTTGCAGCCCTTCCTCTGCCCCTCCCACCAGCATGGATGCATTCTGATGTCTAGAATGCTGTATCCGTGCCCTTAGGTGTTGGCATTCTCTGGCATAAGTCCAAAGCGACCTGTGTGGTCTGTACACAGATAGTCCATTCCTTCCCATTGCCAAGTGGTGTCTGCCCCAGGCACGGCCTGTTTGTCTCGCTCCTGGCAAGGGCTGTTTGAGTTGTTTCCACTTGGGACTGTGAGGCCTCTAGCAGGTCCCTGGAAGACTTCCCCACCCCCACCTTACGCCTCCCCTCCTCCTCCTCAGCTGGATGGGCTCATTCATCGCTTCATCACCCTGCTCGCTGACACCAGTGACTCCCGGTCCTCTGAAAGCCGAGTAGCAGATGCCAACATGGCCTGCCGGAAGCTGGCTGTGGCCCACCCCATCCTGCTGCTCAGGTACTGTGGCCCACCCACATGACGGAAGCGTCAGGGGAGGCACCTGGGGTATGACCACGCCCAGGGAGGTTCCACAGGCAGAGCACAGCCCTTGCCCTCCGCACTCCTGAGCCCAGACAGGTCCTCTGGCAATGTCCTGTGTCCAGCCCTGCTGCGGTGTGAGTTCCAGAGGGCCTTCAGCTAGAAGCTGGTGCTTGGCAACCATGAGCCCTGGCTGCTGTAGCTGCCACAGGAGCCCCAGCCTGTGGCAGAGCCTCAGGAGGAGCCAGGTAGACCCCCAAAAGCGGATCAGGTGGACTACCCCCAACAGACCTGGAGCGTGGTAGCTGGTGCAGGCCCCCAGCAGACCTGGTCTCCAGGGCTGGCACAAGACCAGGCCCTGCTGCTCGAAGCTGTTTCCTGGACAGGATCACCTGAAGCCTATAGTTCACAAACCTGGTCCTTGTGGCTAGTGGCCTTGGTATGCTCCCTCTCAGTGAGGGGTGAGCCTGAGGAGGGGAAGCTAGTGTCTGCAGTCTCCCAAGGGAGTGGGTTGGGATGTGGGAGTCTCTGGTTGGGACCATTGAGGACACCTGGCCCGGAGTGACTTCGGAGCCCTCTGCCCACAGGCATCTGCCCATGATGGCAGCGCTGCTGCACGGCCGTACACACCTCAACTTCCAGGAGTTCCGGCAGCAAGGCCACCTGACCTTCTTCCTGCATGTGCTGGGCCTGTTGGGGCTGCTGCAGCCGCATGTCTTCCAGAGTGCACACCAGGGGGCGCTGTGGGATTGCCTGCGCTCCTTTGTGCGCCTGCTGCTGGTGGGTCCTGACATCCTCCAAGCCTTCACCTCAGCTCCTCTCTACCCTGGTCCCATGGTCTGGGCCAGGCCCCAGCTTTCTAAACCACGACCTGTGGACCCCCTCAAGCTCAGGGAAGCTGAGGCTCAGCCGCCCATTCAGTGCCTTCTGCCTCCTCCACTGCTCTGGGGATCAGCTCGTACCCTGAGAAGCCCTACTCAACCTTTTCATATGCCTGGATGGCCCCAAGTTTTCGAGTACCCATCAGTGCTGAGCTTGCTGCGTGTTGTTTGCTGTTTTGTCATGCACCCCCACTTGGGTACCTGCATGTCTGTGCAGTGACCATCTTCAGATCCGTTGCACACCATGTGGTGGTCAGCAGGGTGGCTTTGTCCGAGGGTCGGGGGAAGCAGCGCAGCAGGAGGGCCACAGGGCTCTGAGCACTCTGGCTCTCTGCAGAACTACCGGAAGTCCTCCCGCCACCTGGCCCCCTTCATCAGCAAGTTTGTGCAGTTCATCCACAAGTACCTCACCTGCAGTGCCCCCGCTGCTGTCTCCTTCCTGCAGAAGCACGCAGATCCCCTCCAGTGAGTGCCACACACCCAGGGGGCGTGTTGGGCCAGGGAGATGGCAGCAGAGGATATGCCTGGGATGCTTAGGCTGTGACAGCACAGGGCTACTCAGTGGCAGCTGATGCTCTGCTCAGCACCTTGCCGCTCCCTGCCTCAGTCCCCACAGGGCCTCCTCCCCTCTGCCTGTTTTGCCTCCTGGGGCCCTGCCGTCATTCTCTGCAGGGCCCCTCTCCCCTCCTTGTCCCTCAGCGCCACCAGCCAGTATCTCCCCCAGGTAAAAGCCAGCCTTCTCTCCCCCAGTGACCTTTCCTCCGACAACAATGACCTGGTGGTGCTGAAGTCCCTCCTTGCAGGGCTCAGCCTTCCGAGCCGGGATGGCAGAGCTGATGGCAGCCTGGACGAGGAAGGTGAAGGTGAGGGGGCTGTGAGGAGGTTCTGTTGGGTCGGGGTGCCCCCAGCAGCATGGCTGGCCCTCAGCCACCCTAAGTGTCCCAATCCAGATATAGTGACCACTGGTACGTCACTTGTTTTACATGGCTGGTGCCATGGCCAGCCCAGTAGAGCAACACACCTGTTCTGGGGACCTTGCCAGATCCCACTGCCCCTTAGAGACCTCCTCGGGCTGTACCGGGCAGGGCTTGTCCTTGGCTCTCCCTCACACCCCATGGCAGTGCTGTCCTGTGCTGTCATGGTCCCAGGTGGTTGGGAGAGGGCTATGGGCAGTATAAGGGAGCAAGAAGAGCCGCGTCTCCAGAGACGGCACCTAGCAGCCCACAGCCCTGCCTCTCACAGAGGCCCTGGTGCAGACAGGGCAGCATGTTCAGCGCAGCGTGCTCCTGGAGGGGAGCCTCGTTTCTGTGGTGCTCCTGGGCGAGGCTGGCCTCAGTGTCCGCCTGTAGCACTAACTGACTTTTCCAGATGAGCATTCAGCCAATTCCCTGCCACTGGTCAGCGTCTCCCTGTCCACCCCCTTGACTGCGGCTGACATGGCCCCGCACATGAAGAGGCTGTCCCGGGGCCAGACCGTTGAGGGTGAGTGGGATTGGCTCCCTCGTGCTACCCAGGCTGGTGCCCTGGGCTCTTTGGGGCCTTGCTCTTCCTGGGGGCTGCTCAGTTTGCGGGATTGACTGGAATGTGAGGCCCCAGACAGACTGCTGGGAGCCGCAGAGTGTTAGGGGTTCTCCAGGAAAGAGGCCTGGTAGGCAGTCTGAGATGATGTGTGTGCACTGGAGCCACTTAGAGCCCTGCGCATGGAGTAGCCTGGTGGACTTTCCTAAAGGCCAGCACACGAAAGCCAAATGGCTGTGAGGGTGCTGCCGGGGAAGGCAGCTGCAGAGTATGGCATCCACTCCTTCCTGGGTCCCTGGGGGTATGCCTTAGAGTGCTTCCCTGGGCCCCAAGGTGCTTCGGTTGCTCAAGATGATTTGGGACCAGGCAGAAGGTCCTCCCTGGCCCCTCTCTGCAACCTAGCTCTGACTTCTGTGTCCCTCTTAGACCTGCTGGAGGCCCTGAGTGACATAGACGAGATGTCCCGGAGGAGACCTGAGATCTTGGGATTTTTCTCTGTGAGTAGCCAGAGGCTGGGCTGGGAGGAGCCTGGACAGGGGCCTTGGGCGGGAGCTATGCCCCACTCTGTGCTGCTGCTTAAGCCCCTTGTGGCCAGCCTCAGGCCTGGGTCTGCGCAGTTGTCACGGAGCCAGGCTGGATCTGCATCCCTGCAGGGGGTAGCCATGGCAGGGGTGAGCGTTGAGTCCCCCACCAGGTGGTCCTGCAACCCTGCCTTACTCCTGACAGACCAACCTTCAGCGGCTGATGAGCTCAGCCGAGGAGTCCTGCCGCAGCCTGGCCTTTAGTCTGGCACTGCGCTCCATCCAGAACAACCCCAGGTGAGCCCACCGTGCCCCCGACACTGCTGCACAGAGAGCTGCCCCAAGGGCCCAGGCTTCCTGGCAGGTCAGCGCTTCTTCCCAGCAGAGCCTGGCTATGGTGTCCCCTGAGATCTTGGGCACGGTGGGCAGGACCCACTCCGTACATTTCTTACAGCATTGCGGCTGACTTCCTGCCCACCTTCATGTACTGCCTGGGCAGCCGTGACTTTGAGGTGGTGCAGACAGCCCTCAGGAACCTGCCTGAGTACACACTGCTTTGCCAAGGTGAGCCTTGCCCTGTCCACCTGGAAGCCCCTGCCCTTTCCATGCCCTTGCTGCCTGACCGTCTCCCCACAGAGCACGCAGCTGTGTTGCTGCACCGAGCTTTCCTGGTGGGAATGTATGGCCAGATAGACACCAGCGCCCAGATCTCCGACGCCCTGAAGATCCTGCATATGGAGGCTGTGATGTGACCTGTGATGGCCACTACCCTTGACCTCAGTGCCATGCTGATTTCATCAGAAGATCTGCAAGGATGGGCAGGCCTGGGAGCAGCTCTCCTGGACTAGCAGCTGGCACTGCCATCCAAGGCCATCCCACCTTCTGGTTAGGGCCTGTGCAGAGCCATGGGGGGCACGGCCCAGTGTGAGGAGTGGCTGGCATCCCAGGGAGGCCAGCAGAGCTGGCATGTAATGAAACATTCTGAATCCCCTAGTGCTGATGTCTAGTGTTCTGTGTTGCCCTGGCTGGTGCCAGCCCGGACCGGGCCCATTGTTCTCCATGGCCAAGACACTGGGGTCCTAGAGTGAGTGTGGAGTCCTGGCAGGGAGACTGAGGGTGGAACCCAGGCCACTCCCCACAGACCAGCCTGTTCCCCATCGTCTACACCACTACTTCCTGTGGTATGGCCCCAGCTCTGCCTAACCCTGACTTCTCTGCCCATGGGATCAGTGTAGATAGGCCACACCAACACACAGGGCCACATGGGGGCTGGGCAGAATGAACGGTCCCTTCTCTGTCCCAAAAGGACAGGTCTGAGATCCTCATGGTCCTCACCTGTCTGCGCTGGCTAGAACCTGGCACTGGAGTAGCCCAGGTGGCCAGTGAGCCTGGCCTGACACCCTTCTGTCTCAGCAGTTCTGCTGAAGGGAGGCAGCAAGCCTGGGGAGCTGGCAGGCAGGGTTGGGGTGGGGATATGTTGGACACTGCCCGGCATTGCTCCTCTTGTCCTCCCAAGGGGCATATGGTCATGCCCCCTTGTCCTGGGGTTACAGCTGGGTGTTTGTCTCGGTTAGGATTGAAGCCGCCTGTGCTCTCCACCCTCACAGCAGTGTAGAGGGACAACCCCAGCCTGAGGCTTCATTGGTTCTGATGACAGCTTTTCAGGCAGGATCCATCCTGGCTGCCCTGATCTTGCTCAGTTGTGCCATCAGAGGCCACCAGGGGGCACCATGGCAGAAATAATCAGGCTGGGCTTTCCCCAAGCCCCGGATGACCTTGCAGCTGGGTGCTGGAGATGCCATGGTCTCTGGAGGTGACCTCAGACTGGTAGCAGCTGGAGCCTGCAGGCTTAGGCCCACAACCCTGCCCTGGCCAGTCTGCCCACGTTCACACCACTGGAGCACCCACTCTCTTACATGGCCTGAGGATCTGGGTATCCCCACTATGCCTGTCCACAGAGAAAGGCCCTTGGGGGGGTCCTTGGGGCAAGGGGTTGCTCTGGAAATAACTTGGAGGCCCAGGTTGGCCAGGGAGTGAGGGACAGAAATGCCCTCAGGTGGCTGGAGGCCCTGAATGGCGTCCACCCCAGTGCTCAAGGCTTCTGTGCCCCAGAGCGGGCCCTGGCACCTTCCTTGGTGCAGAACTAGTCTGTGTCTAAAGATGAGGACAGCAGTGACACTACTCCCATGGACCAGGGGGCACAGGGCAGACCAGCTAGTCCACTCCCCACGGCCTGGCCTTTCCGGCCTCTGAGCACAGCTGGCCACATGTGGTGCCCTCAGCCCTGGCCTCGCTGGGCCTGCTGCCTGGACTGTCCTGGCTCCCCCTTCTGCGCCCTGCCGTTCCTCACACCGCTCCGTGAAGGCCCCGAACCCCTTCCTGGGCACTTGTCTTCAGCTCTCCTGGCCTCCACGCTCCTGTGCTTTGCAGGCTTGGGCAGTGCATCCCCGCGGCATATAGACAACCAGGGCTTCCCATACCACAGGGCAGGGAGCTGCCTGTCCCAGCCTGTGCTGCACAATGCAGCTTCCCACCCTGCTGAGGGCCCTGATGTCAGCGTGGCAGTCACAGCTGAGCACCCTTTGTTTCTGTCCCCTCGCACAGTGCCACCCGACCCCCAAATTCAGCTATTAGTTCATCTGTTCGTTCTCATGTGCTGCCCCTCACCCCAGAACCTGAGCCACCTGGCGGGTGGCACCTTCCACCCTGGTGCCCCTGAAGTTTAGAAAGATGGTGGGGAAGGGATGAGGCTGGAGCCTACATAGCCCCAGACCCCACCGGTCTCATGGGGAGGGAGGTGCCGGGATCCTGGGGTCCTGCCCTCTGGGCCTTGCCTCTCCCATGACACTGTTCATGCAGCAGTGAAGGGGCAGGGGCTGGGCGTGAAAGGCCAGGGCCTGTGGGTGCCAAGCTTTGCAACTGGGCTGGCTTGAAGTAGGTGTCCAGGGGTGTTTGCCATTGCCCCCGCTAGACATAAGCCTTTAGCAACCAGTGTCATGCACATAGGGAAACTGACTCTGAAAGGCGGTGTCTGTGTCACTAGCGGGAGAGGGGCAGGACCATCTGGTGAGAGCAGCGGACCCACCCACAGCAGCACTGGCCCAGCCAGGCCCAGCACCTGTGTCTTGTGCTGGTGGTAGGGGCTGTGGAGGCATGCTGGGGCTCAGAAGGCCAGGGAGGCACTGGATGGGGACATCCCTCGTCCTGTGGTGTGTGCATGGTGAGGCTGTCACCCACTCGGGGTGGGCAGGTGTCTGGAGAGCCTGTGTGCTCCTCCGTGTCTGTTTACCCGGCCCCGAGACAAGCACGGCTCAGTGTGGAGTGTGGGGGCCACCGGTCCCCACCCGGACTAGTTGTGATGCTGGCTGCCTCCCAGCGCTGAATCCAGGGCCTTTGTTGCACAGACCAGAGTGCAGCTCTGGGGAGGCCCTGAATGCAACGGGGTGCCGCCCAGGCTCACTGCGGTAGCTCAGCACCCCAGCCGTGTTGTCTCTGAAACCCAGACCCTGTCCTTTCTCGCGCAGCACCTCCAGGAAAGCTTCCTGCAGGCCTCCAACACCCCCCCACACAGGGTCTGAGTTGTTACGGCTTGTCTCTTAGTTCCGGTGTGCGGTGCGAGAGGCGCCAGCCACAGCCTGTTGGTGATTGCTCTGCTGCCACAGGCTTGGAACTGGACCCTCCAAGGAGACAGCTGTAGCCCCCAGATACGGGAGGAAACGGCTGGCAGGCTCGAGCCTGAGGGCATGCATGCCTCCAGTCCCCTGTGGCCTCAGTTTACCCCCGTGCTAGAGGCTGTACGCCCACCTGCCCCAGTGTGGGAACTGAGATGGCCTGTCCACTCCATGGGCCAACAGGGCCCAGGCACTTGGCCCCAGTTATGGTGCCCAGAGCTGAGGTGCAGCACCTGGTACTGACACACCAGGGTGAGGCTTTTTTTGTTGGTCTTTTTGAGACAGGGTCTCGCTATGCAGTTCAGGCTGGCCTTGAGCTCACTTTGTAGCCCAGGCTGGTCTCGAACTCACAACGATCCTCCTGCCTCAGCCTCCCGAGTGCTGGGATTACAGGCGTGCGCCACCATGCCCGGCAAAGGTAAGGCTTTGGCAGCTCCCAAGGGTGGTCCAGTGTGGGCCCAGCACTGAGGAGCTGCAGGTGGCCGTGCTTGGAGGCCCTGGCTCTGTCCAGCCTGGCCAGGGCCTGTGGCCGGTGCTGAGCAAGGCTGGGTGGGAAGACCCAAGCCTGTGGGAGGAGCCCTTGATGGACTTGGAATCCTCACCAAGAGGGCTGGCAGGCCCCCTGCAAGAGCAGAGGTGTGGCAGGGGCTTGGTGCTGGTGGGAGCACATAGCAAGTGCAGGGTAGGAGGGGGTGCACAGTGGGAGCGGGTGCTGAGTCTCCGTGCACCCGTGCCCCAGCTTCCCTGCCTGACTCTCCCAGCTCCTCTCCACATCCCCTCTGGTGGGGGGGGGGGGTACTGTGGCCTCTGATGGAACATGAAGGCCCCAACCTATGTACGGAGCTCCCTGCCCCGGAGACAGCAGAGCCTGGTGGGGGCTCTCAGGGTCCTGACAGCACCCCTCCTCCCTTCCTCTCCGCTCCGCAGAGACTGAGGGCAAGGACACGGGTCACAGGGCCGGGTCCAAGCCCTGCCAGGCTCCTCCGTGAGGGTGCTTGGGGTGGGGCTGAGTGAGGCCCCACCCACCGTGGACTCAGGCACGCAGGTCTCGGGTTTCACTTTCAGTTCTGGTAGGGACTACCTACCTACCTCCTCCACAGAGGTCTCCTGGCACGCTGGAGGCTGGTGGGTCAGACGAAGACAGGAGGCCGATGTGCCCAAGGTCACCTCCCAGGTGGACCATTTCAGGTGTCCCCATGGGGCCGTGTGTGGCTTGAGGCCTCCTAGGACTTCAACCCTTTTCTCTGGGAAGGTGACATTCAGGAAGCCCTAGGGAGGACAGGCTGGCCAAGCTAGAAGTCCTAGTTTTCTCCCCAAGTCCCTCACCTGTACAGACCCAAAAGGGTACCCTGTCAGCATCAGGCCCAGCTGGGCTCACAGGACCCCAGAGGTTGGATCCCAAAAAACTAATACTCAGGCACTGGAAGTGCTACCTCCTGCATAGGGAGTAGGAGCAGCCATTAGAAGACAGGCATAACGAGGGGCTCCTGAGGGATGAGTAGGAGTTTTCCAGCTAGGTCCTTCGGGTCATTGGCTTGCACTTAGGGGCACAGGGCTCTAGCTGGCCATCGCCTGGATGGTGGGTAGTGAGCCTACAACTCTCGCTTTTCTGCCTGGTTCCTGTCTAGAGTTAGGCCCGGAAGGGACTGTGGGGCAGGGTGGGTGTGGCACAGGGAGGGCACAGAGTGGCCTAGTCCTGGCTGCTCCAGGCATTGACCAGGGCCAGCGAGGAGAGGGAGTCAGGGAGGAGTGGCTCCCCCAGAGTGGAAGCTCCCCTTGGCAAGGTTTGGTCCTGGCCACATGGGAAGGGCAGGTCAGTGGACTTGTAGAACCCAGACCCACGGCTCGCTACTTCTGTGTGTCTCCTGCTGTCCCCCCATGCAGGCTCTGGGGCTGGGTCCCTTTAGCCCCTCAGCCCCTTGGCCTCTGGGTAGTCCAGCAGGGGTACAGGAGCCCCCAGGGCACGGATTGTAAAACATATGTCTTAAGGAGCTGAGGGGCAGCCGGTCAGAGCTGGGCCACTGAAGGACAGACCACAGGGCTCTGGCCTGCTCACTTCTCCCTGCCTATGGCCTCGGGAACCACCCTCAAGCCCATTTCCACATCTGTACAATAGACATCAAAATCATGCTGCAGCCTTGTGTGGTCTCTCGTTACTGAACAGAGAGGTGCTGTGATCTGGCCAAGGAAGCACAGCGATCAGGGCAGGCTGGGCTGACCCCCTCCCTGGGCCTGCCTGCTCTGTTTGCAGGAGCGCGAAGGGCCAGCCCCATTACAAGGGTTCCTATAGATGGTGTGAGGAGGATTAATAATGTATTTATA